TGTTAATAGAAGTGTATATAAGGAATGGAAGTAAAAGAGAAAAAACATGAGATTATCGGATGGGATACGGGAACAAAATAAAGGTAGAAAGAACGATGAGAAAAAGATGACACAAGGACCACTGCTATGGAAATAAGAAAAATAAAGAATAAGAGAAGGGTTATGGAAAACTCCTTGGCGATGTGAGCTGAAGGAAATATTTAGGCAGTGAAGAAAAAGGCAGAGAAATTGTCATGGAGTTAGTAGGAAATGTAGAATTGAAATAAAACCGATTAAAAAATATAGAATAAAATTGGGAGAAAAAAGAGATAAAGAGGAAATAAAAAGAAGAGTGAAGAGATCGAATATGAAGAAGAAAAATAAAGGAATAGTTGTACAGCTGAAAGCAAAGACAGTTTGAAATATTGTGTATAAGGATGATTTAGTATACTCGTTGAGTAAAATAGGAAAGTGCAATTAAATGTGATAGATAGAGAGTGTAGGAAGTGTCAAGATTACGTGAAAACGTAACTAAAGGAATATTAGTAACTGAAAAAGTAGAAACAAGGAATGAATGGATGTGTGTGGAACAAACCAAGTCCTCTTTTTGGCTACGCAAGCTGAAGGAAAATACGCTGACACTCTCTCTGATAGTTGAATTCATTGAAATCAATCGTCAATTGAAAGATTGAATTTGTTGAAATCAATTGTCGATTAAACGGCCTGCAATTGAATTGACTCATATTCATCATCAGTTAAACGCGATAATGAATTGAAGTGTAATTAACTCTGTTTACACTCAACGATCGATCCTCCTTTGTAAACTTCGTCTGAAGTTCTCATCGGGCGGAGCACACTGGGGCAGACGGGCTGAAGAGTCGACACCAACTTTTTTTCTTCCCTGCTTCCATTACAAAGGATCACCTCGTAATCCACAAGAGGAGGAGTCTCGTGTCCCTAGATTTCATTCTCATGGACTTTCTCCGGAGACTTCGGCTCGGCAAGGACGTTTCTTGGCACACGGCCCACGGATACTCCCATATTCATGAACGGCCATTGTCTCCTTACTAAACGCGGCTACCTGTTTCAATTCACTTACCTGCGCCCCGATACGCTGTACATTGTTCGTGCGTTCTCCGGTGTGAAGACAGTCACAACACACTTGTGAATTTTACGCGTAGCCGATGATGAGAGTCGTTTTCACGACTGTATAATCCTCTGGGTTCTTTCGCGATAAACTCACGCGTTACACATACACATATCTCCTCGATTAGTCCACCTAGTTTTGAACCTGGTTTCCCTCCCAGAGACCTTTTCTCCGCGGGACGGTGCTGTTATCGTCTGTAATTCGTGCTGTTTAGCGCGTAACAAGCGATGACCGTAAAACTTCATCGGGCAATCCCGCAACCGCTGATGACCGGAGTCGGAGAGAATGCAGGCTAGATGCACCGTATTTGCATGCGAACGAGCCGCGCAACTACTCTCGGCGAGCCACTGCACCTAATTGTTAGTCCGCTTGACCTGATCGCCGCACGCGCGGCATCGCGCACAAGACGCGATTTTCATTCCCGGCCTGCTACGTGCCGCGTTGCAATAGAATCACGCTCTCGCGCTTTGTCCGCGGCTTAAGGCGCGATTTCAGCAGAGCATTCTCTCGAAACCGGTTTCCCTCGGCGAGACTCGTTCGCCGAGAAGAAGAAGCGGGAAAACCGTTTAGTTTTCATTTTCACAGTCCTCGAACTTGAATTCGTCCCGAAGTTACTCTTAAAGCTGAAGCTCCGCACACGTGCGCCTGTGTGTTTGCACACAACGTGTCGCATCAGCGCGACATAACGTCTTTAGCCTGGGGCAGATTTGTGACGGCTTCGCAAATTGGGCCAATCGATGATCCAAACCGAGAGGTATAATCCAATAACTGCCATGCTCGTCCCAGCAAATATTTAACGTTCCCGCGTCGAAACATCCGTGTAGCTCGTAACGTTACAACTCGTAAATTTCTCGTCGGTGACCTGAAGGACTTGCAATTTCTTGACGTGTAAAATAAATCGAGAGAGACGGCGACGCGGCAAGTGCAAAGCAAAGAGACTGCGGATATTTCAGAGAATATACGCAAATTGACCTGACAGCCTCAACACACGAAGTTATAGAATTTTAAACTTTCCCATTAGACATACATTATGCACTATAATAAACGACTCTCCGGGAAACACAGAATACTACTTAGATGGGTACCATTAACATATTTATTTAAGAGGATTAGAACGATTTGAAATCTTTAAAAAATCGATTTTTGGGTTTTTACATAATCGTTTAGTACAACTCTTTCAGAACATTTTGGCGCAAAAAGAACCTCGATGTTCGCAAAATTAAGTTCAGGAAAGCGAAAAATGTGAGGCGGCGCGTGATCATGTGTAAGAAAAGTAGATACTGTTTATTTAAAACAAACTGATAAACAGTAATAACAGTTCGAAACCTTAGAAATAATAACATTGGAAACAAAGGCTATAGGCGTGTGGAAGTCACTGCTAACAAATATGTGAGTAACAACTAAGGAGACGAGAACAATCGGTCAGTCGGTAGTAGAAGTAATCGGTCGTTTATCTTTCAAAACAGCATTTTTCGCTCGGTTTGCCATGATAACTCAAGAACGGCTGAAGATATCGACTTGATCTTTTTTTTAATTAAAGATACAGACGTACTGCATAAATTGAACCAAAGTTTGCATATAAAAATTAATTTTTTAATACCGTTTTAACAATAAATAACTTGAATTGATTTTTTAGGCTTTTGCGGGATCCATGCATATTAGATTTGGGGTTTCCGGGCTTGAGCCGCGTGAATTTATCTTTGTTTGATTCCGACGTTTCGCGAACATTTCAGTCCGCTTCATCAGGGAGAAACGACCCGAAATAACTTGAATTTTTAGACATTTTCGGTTTTTTGTCCGCTATTTCTCTAATTTGTTAGATTTTTAGTTCCATTTCGGTTCAATCTATAGAGTGGAATCTCATCTATAAAATGACGCTTGGCGCATTAAAAAATTCCAACTCGCTTTCCCAGAATCGTGGCAAAACCGCAAAAATTTTTTAAATTTAACAATATCTCACTCAATTATTAATATTTTTTGAACTTCTACCTCTTATTATATTCCTAAAAGTATGTATAAAAACTAAAAAAAAACAAACCTTGTATATTTATTCGTTCGTCGACAATTGTCATTCGAGTTTCACTTAATTTTCGGAAGATGAAACCGTTCTAGTCCCCTTAAATCAAAATTCTTTTCATTTAAATTGAGTATTGTGTTACTCGGTTTAAGTAAACAATACTCGTTTTAAATAAAGAGAATTTTGATTTGAGTAAAGTTAATGATACTCACTTCATAATTTTTAAATATCTTTTTCTCAGTGTATGTGTGTACGATTGTGTTGGAACTTGAAATCAGACGAATATTTGAATATGCTCGCGTGTTTACGATACATTTGCAGAGCGAATTTGCATGTTTCCCGAATCTTTCATAAGTTATCGCTTAAGTAAACATAGACGAGCCACGTGAAGAGATACTCAAGTGGCACATGCCACATGATACTACGCACAACGCTGGTAATATCACGCATAATTGCCTACATTCCTAATCAAGCGCATACTCCATTCTTTATCCGCGTTCAATTGTATATGAACCTTCGATCTACGATTTTCCTGAGGAGACCTCTCTACGAGACGTCTCTTCCTCTTATCTCCATAATATTCTTCATCAAACAAGTCTTCCAACAAAGCGCAATTTACGTTTGTCAATAATTGCTAACGATAATTCCGCGCACACGCGTAATAACCATAATTCGCGAGGAGGAACGTTTTTACCGTTATCAATATGACAGATATTGAACGCATAAAAGAATTCCAGACCAGCAAAGAACTCTTTACACCGCGCGTAAAACTCCGGGTCACGCGCAAAAGAGGAGTGTCAACAAGGGCATTTTCCCGCCAAGTCTTTCGAGAATTATATTGGTTCGATAGTTTAAAGATGTATTGCCCGTATAGCTTCCGCAAAATGTCACTGGAAAAATCAGGAATACGTGAATATTTTTATTTTCTGTGTAAAAACACGTATATGCAGAGCGTTTGACGCAAGACATACAAAATCACGTCTAAAGTGTAGAGCATGTCAATCTTTTTCCATTAATATGTCAAAATTTTGTGTGATTAGTTTGCAGAATGCCAATAGTCCTCGTCAGTTTAGCTTGACCTGCTCTATCGTTGCACGTAGTTTTGTATATCTTGCGTCAAACACACTGTATATACTACACAGTTCACTAACATATTTTACAACATATTTTACTTTAACACTACCTCCTTATAGACTATTTTTTTATTTTATATCATTCTTGATTTTTAAACTTTTTCTTTTGTGAGTCACAATGAAATTTTGTATGTGTCATTTTGAATACTTAAAGTACTCGTATACAAAAATTGAGATTCCTGTTATTATTTTTTCATTATCTCTTTTCTTTTATTGAAGCTAGTGACGTCATATATTTCCATAACAAATGTATATTTATGTTTCCATAAATGATGTACGACATCAATATTTTGTTTGACGTCAATATATTTGCTAGAGTTTACACTTCAGAATAAAATAACTTTTGATCTAGACTCTGAATTAATGTCAAATTGTTCGTGTCTCTTTTAGATGCAATATAGATATATTTTTTCAAACTTTTCATATTATTTTTGAGATATGGGTAATATACTCTTAAGTCCTAAATATTTCAGAAAAAAATTATCTTTCGTCGACCACACAATACTTTATCACCAGACAGTGCATTCAGTACGTCTCGCTTCTATGTGATAATCCAGGAATGGATTAGATCTTGAATTATCAAATCGCAACATAATTTTTAAAGATTTTTTAAACGTTTGGCGCAGAGATAGGAAAACGAAATGTTATTGACATTGCTTCTTTCCTTTTCCTTACGGGATTGCGTGAACGTCTCTTTGACCGCATATTCTTCTTTTATTTCCAGGTGAGAGGAGTTTCTCGACTTAGGCTAAGATGTCACATCACAGCGACGACAACATGCTGATAGCGACGTCGGACTCGTTCTGGGAGCCAGGCAATTACAAGCGCACCACAAAGAGGATTGAGGACGGGCACAAGCTCTGCGACAGTCTAATAGCGTTGGTCCAGGAAAGGGCGGAGATCGAGAAGAGCTATGCCAAGGCGCTGAAGAATTGGTCGAAGAATTGGAACGACAAGATCGAGAAAGGACCCGAATATGGTACCACCGAGGCGGCGTGGAAGGGCGTCCTCGTGGAATCCGACAGACTTTGCGATCTTCACCTCAGGGTCAAGGAGAATCTCTGCAACGATATTATCCAGCAGGTGAAGACGTGGCAGAAGGATACGTACCACAAGGTACAGTCTTACGTTGCCCTTTCCCTACAGATCGCACCTCAACATCGCGTATAATATTTCTATCTTGCTCGTAGTTACACGATGAAATCGTTAAACCAAATCTTGAGAAGGGTAATAAAAATGGCACATCTATATAGAGATACAAATGAATTAATGTGACAATGAAAGAATCGAACGCGTTTTGGCTAAGAGAAACAAAAGTTTCGGTTCTTACAGCCAGATTTGAACCAAATAAAAACCAGAAATTCTGTTTACTTCAACTAAAATGAGTTTGGTTATTTTTGTCACATTAATTCAACCAAACTTTTTTTTACGAAGGAGATTCTTTTACGAATTTTTTTTAAAGAGAGAAGTAAATAAAAATACTAATATAAAATTTGAATCATATTATTTATTATTGTTTTAAATATAAAGAAATTATTTTTATTTATTTAAACATGAATTGTGAAATTACGTCTTTCACTAAATCTAATACAGTTTTTAAATATTCTTGTTCCATTTTCCATTGTAAAATTATTATACGATCTGTAATGCGTCTGTTAGAAGCGTCCGGTGACATTGCACCTAACATAAAAAAACCTAGACAAAATTTTAATTTTTTATATATTTTTTATACTTAAGACAATAATAATCAAGACTCTATATTGTTATTTTTATTTATTTCTTTGAATAAATTTGTTCTTGCTTCGAGAGAACCTGAACGAGATTTTAATTTGTTTTTCATAATTTGTTATACTTAAATGATAAATAATGTATGTTCAAAATCTCATATTGATATTTTTATTCACTTCTTTGAAAAAAAAATCGTAAAAACCTCCCATTTTTATCTATCTAAACCAGCATCTTCTCCTAATTAATTCTTTGTTTATTTAATTTTATATCGTATTAAGCCTTTTACATCCTTACGGTCACATTATTTCCATCTATCTTATGAACGCAAGACTGATGTCCGAGATTTACCGCTTCTATCAATTTTACCAACGGTACTTCTCTTTTTCTATAGTAGCTATAGTAACTAACATTGCGCGAGTTTGGTTTGCAGTCGATGATGACACTAAAGGAGCGCAAGGAAATGGAGGACGCGTTCAAGAAGGCTCAGAAGCCGTGGGCAAAACTCCTGCAGAAGGTCGAGAAAGCCAAGTCGGAGTACCACAACAGCTGTAAAACCGAGCGAACGGCGGCGAACATGGAGAGGAACGCCTCGGCGGACAGTTCCCTCTCCCCGGATCAGGTGAGCTGTTCGCAATTAATTCTATTCACCGTATCTCGCGCACATATTATATCACTTGTCACTCGTAATGTGTTATCAACGACTGGCGCAACGTTCACGTATCACTATAGAGAAATCACTTCGTCATCACATTCGCTTTTAAATCGCTGGCGCGCTCATTAACTCACGTTGCAGATCTAATCTGCCTAACTCGCGGACTGCCGCGAGTTTGTCTAACTCCAATTAACATGTTCACAGACGCGCATCACGTAACACCTTCCGCAAAAATGTAACGTATATATTCGATATTCGCTGGACATATCCTGGTCGATATTTTTATTCGCGTTATTCAGCTGCGCGAAATTTCGCGGTGTAACGCGGAAGTATAATAACGTGTGAAACGATAATTAATATTGACAAGTCAAATATTGTTTCGCCAATATTCCGACGATAGAGCGCGAGAGGCGCGAACGGTACATACGGTGGATCTATTATTTCAATTCGTAGCGATCAAGCAACGCCTATATTCGTTTCTTTACGTCATCGAAATCCACCGCGGTCGAAAGAACGTATGTTTTCGTGCAGAAACAAATATGCGTTAATATGCGTACAACAGATCGATCCAAAGTCACATAATGCGTACGCACAGGGAAATTAACTAATCTAATATGAAAAATATCCTCTTGCTGCACGGATCGTGATTGATTGATTTCATGATGCATACACTGAAAGAAAAAAATATCTAAGAAACAACAAATATTTTTTTATTCGATAAGTACTATAACATAGTTACGTTAACATAGTTTATATATTAATATATATATTTTTTTTTTAATTGAGAGGAAACCTATTTTTCAAAAAACATAATATACATCTTCCTGAACTTTTGCTTTTCACGAAAACAGTTGTTTATTCTATTTATATAAAAGAATGTAGATTTAAGTAAACATGTAAGTAAACGTGTTATTATATTGCAAGCAACTTTATGTTAAATTTAATACATTTTACATGTTCCAATTTATTCACTCGAGTTTTCATGTTAATTTAACACAAAATAAATATATTAACAGATAACACAACTTATTTGTACATTTTATATATAAAATGTCAAGAGTGTACGTGTAAATTTTATTATTTTAGCACCTAGAAATCAATATGAACTCAACACAGAATAGTCATAACGACAATCTGTTGTTAAAAATTCATTAAAAATTGTTTGAAAATTATTAAAGTTTGTTAAAAATGTTATACAAAGACCTATACAAAACAATTTTAACACAAATATAAAATGTTTTTTGCAGTATATAGTACTTACCAAATAAATGGTTTTTTAATTTTTTAGATATTTTTTCTCTCACAAAACGACATGCGATTATGTAAGTTTGTCTAGATAAGCTTTAAAGCGGCGACGTTGTTTCTTTTACGTTGTAAACTTTCCGAAGCAATGAGACTGTCGACTGATATACAGATGCGCACCACACGGAAAAAAAAGATTTGGTTGAATTAACCAAATATCTGGTTGAATATGAACGATCCAGAAATTCCGATTGAAATAACCCGAATTCTGTTTAAGTTAAAAAGATTTTTGGTAGACTAACTAAGCATGTCTGGTTATTTAACCAAACATATCTGATTAAATAACCAGACATGTTTGGTTAGTCTACCAAAAATCTTATTAACTTAAACAGAATTCGGATTACTTCAATAGGAATTTCTGGATCGTTTGTATTCGACTATATATTTGGTTAACTCAACCAAATCTTTTTTTCCGTGCACGATAGCAATATATTATAACATATGTACACACGTATATATTACCGTTAGTCTTGCATCTCGATCATGCACACGCGCCGCCTTTATCTCATACAGTAGATACAGTTGTTCTTTAGCAAGTATTATTTACAGATGGCCCGAGGCTCTGAAAACGTACGTTATACCTTGTGTACTCCTAAGAATTACTCGCATGCTCCTCTATAACTCTCATCTCTGTCTATCCTCTGTCAACGTTTTCGCGATGATCTAACGACGCGACTCATTCGCTTCTTTATCCGCGCGAAGTGTCTCTCCCTCTATTGCATGTCTATGTATGTATGTTTTATTATGAGTGTGTGTGTGTATATATACATATATATATATATATGTGTGTGTTCTCTCGTCCAACTATTCTCGTCCAGGAAATGACATCGAGTGCTGGTCACTCTGTAGAGACTAACATAAATATTTCATAGCGCTTCTTGTACAGCAGCAATTACACAAATGATGAAACGAAGCTGTAACGCAACGGGGAAAAACACTTGCAATTTTCCGTTCGGGTTTTATTCTTTCTCGTCGCTATCGTTCGAGTTATCGGTAGTAACGATACTGGTACGACACCGTCGAGAGATTTATTTAAGCGTAAGAACGGAGGAGTGGAGAAACTCTCGAATTCCGCGCGCGTTTCGTGACTCTCTTTTAATTCTAAGAACAGTAGAGCAGAATGCAGCAAACATTAATTGCAAACGCACTTAAGTCGAGTATGCACTATATAATAATGCAGGATCGGCGATAGACATCTCTGAAAGACGGCTAACGACGTTTTTAGATGACAGAATGTGGATGTGGTGCATGGAGCCTCAGAGTGCCAAAAATCCTTAGGAATAATAAAATAGGCGACATTCAGTTTGTATGTATATGACGTTGCATGCTGCATGTCTCTTGATTGATGTTTCGTATCTTTTTTCTGTTATTGCAGAAGGCTCTGCTGGTAAGAGAAACCCCGGCTCTCTCAGGTCTATTCGATCACCGCGCGAGAAGTATCCCCCCTGAGTCGATCGAATGAATCGAGATCAGAACGCGCGAGAAACAAAAAAAACGAGATGAAACGCCACATAAATGCCTTTGTGAGAAAGATCCGCGTGCTTTCTCTTCATCACGCGTATTCTCTGATGTCGATCCATTTTTTATTCTTATTTTTATTTTAAATAAAGTATCTCTCCTTGTAGTCTGCTCGTTTACACTCACGCAATTGTTATCTCGGAAGTATTGTTGATAAAGAAATATCCGGATTGTAAAATAATTAGAGAATTAACATATAGAAAGATTTTTTATTGCGAATCTCGTACATTATATTTATTGATATAAAACATTATATTAATATATCTTAATCACATTACGTGTCAACAACAATCATTTAATTTTGCCCTTGTAACAATAATTATAGCTTTAATTTCTTGTACTGAAAAAACTCTTGTTGGAATTAACCAAATGGGAAATATGAACGAACCAGAGTTAATCAGAAATCTTGTTAATTTGAACAGAATTCTGGTAGCTTCAATCATAATTTCTGACTTGTTTATATTTCATCAGAAATGTGGTTAATCCAGTCAAACTTGGTTTTTTCCATGTGTAAAGTTTATTATCGACGTATTATCTTACTATGCGACGCAAATGAATAAACGTTTAAGAGTTATAAATATCGCAAACAAATAATTCGCGACATTTTACATTGAATTTTACACATCTCGATTGTTTTGAATTGCATGGAGAACAACCGGAATATATTTTGCAACACACCAATTGATTAGGCATTTTTCGTAATAGCAAGAACACACACTGCGACATTTATTACCATAATTTAGTTAACTCAAAACCGGTATAAACATGAGAAATGCGGCGCACGTGCATGAAATATGTATAATTCATGAGTCGATATAGGTAAACCTCTTTGAGTCCTTAGAGCGCTCGCGGCACATAATGGCCGAGCAGACGTCCGGTGTTTTTTCGTAAGATCCAGTAACGACATAAATTTTGCTTCAAACGACCTCAACCTTTACGTGATGCGATTCCACGCGGTCAGAAAGTAAACGCCATAATTGTGCAATTATGTAAAACAGTGAAATTTACTGCATCACCGCGGGAAATTTTAACTTCCCCTGAAAATCGCGTATATCTGATTAAAAGGCTGTGACGTATATTTATATACGCAGACGTAATTTTATGATAAGAATCATTACAAAATTATATAACCGAAGAATAGATCGACATTCTGCGCACAGTAATTGACTTTTTATTCAAAATTCTCCGAAGATATTGAAGCCTCGATATTAAGTCGAGGATACTTCAGGAATGCAAATTATATCATTGCTGATGACTGTTATTTAATTTGTTTATCGTGTAGGAATAGTTGCACGACAACATAAGTAGTTTAGTCAGTACGCAGTTTTGACATGTAGCTTGGTTTAGTTAATAGCTAGATTATTTACTTATTCGCACATTCTGATAAACGAAAACCATCGTATATTTACTCTATCTCCCTCCCTTCTCAATGTGGCATTCACGTTTAATATCGCAAAAAGCATCCTCCGCAGCTTTTTGACGATGGGCTCGTTCTTCAGGGTAAAGAATTGGGACCGTCGATTGCATTCGCTTTCATTGACACTTGCAGATTCCAAATTTTCCGTGAAACAATACTGAAACGATAAATTTGACTCGACGGGTGAAATTACACGAAGACAAAATGCCTGCTGTGTTCGTATTGTTTTCTCGACATGATGCGTGTAATTTCACAAATATTTACCGTCATTGCTGAAGGAAAAAGTATATAAGAAATAAAAAATATTTATTCAATGGATATTAATAATATATTTACTTATACTAATACTAATACTTATAGATATAGAAGAATATTCTTGTTTGAAAAGTATCTTTGAGATATGAGATTACATAATGTTAAACGAAAATAAGTTACTTACGTTAATACATTTGACTACATATGATTCAATAGAAGAAATATATTCTTATTATACAAAAATAATTTTCGTGAATGGAAACCACAAGATATTAAATTGAGAATATGTTTTTAAATATCGGAAGAAAATATCATTATCATCGAAATAATATTATATTTTTTATGAAACTTTCTCTATTATATTCAAGTAAATTTCAATTTAAATAACATTGTTGAAATTCAAGACTTCAAAATTCTTCTAACAAAATTATATATCGTTGCTTATATACATAAAACAATGATTTTTAATCTGAGTATATTAATTTTAAATAGATACTAATTTTTTTCTGTGCACTAATATAAAATATTTCTCAAATAACAAAATATACATTTCTTTAAAACCTTTACTTTCATGAAAGCAACTGTTTATTTTATTTATATAAAATAATTTTGATATAAGTAAATATATTATTAGTATCCATCCAATAAATGTTTTTTTATTTTTTAGGTATTTTTACTCTCAATGTGAAACTTCCGCTTCGCCTCGGTTATTAATGAGCGAGACTTGTCGAACTTGGCATTTTTAGACCGCGTTTCATAGTACCGAAGTCTTTACCTTCGAGCCAACGCGTTATAAAGGAGAACGTTGTCTGTAAAGTTTCTAAGTGTTTTCATGTCTTTCGATAGGTGAAGAAGATGCAGGACAGGGTGCAGAAAACGAAGGAGGAGGTGCAAAAGGCGAAAGAGAAATACGAGGCGGCGCTTCAGGAAATCAATCAGTACAATCCAAAGTACATGGAGGACATGACGCAAGTGTTTGAGAAGTGTCAGGAGATGGAAGCGCAGCGACTTCAGTTCTTCAAAGACGTCTTGTTCGGTATTCACAAGTGTCTGAATATCTCGCAGGATCCAGTGTAAGCCCTTCTCCATTACCGCGTAACTACATGTAATGCGCAACTCGCAACTGTAGATTTTAAGTATTTCCATTCTGAATAATCAATGTGCCCGGCGTGCAAACACGCGATGCGATTGTCTATCATATTCAAGCGCGGGCGTTTAATTAACGCGGTTTGTATTGTCAAAGATGATTCGAATTAAGCTGGGATTTTAATTCCGTATCTCTACTGCCAGGTTTCACGAATATACAGAATGCCTGACAATTCATGACATATTCGTTATATGCAAGTAAAACTCTTCAAACTGAACACACAATTCCTCTATCATTTCGCAAACGATACGAACGAACATTACGTAAAATTTTGAGTTGTTAATTAAAACAGATTGGTGAATGATCACGCGCGATAAAATAGACGAGCTATGATAGCAATGTCTGTCGTCATGTGTGCGCTTGTATATTAGATCAAACTGAACAAAAACGTCCTTTACTATTTTTCAAATGACCACGTAGATTTTTAGTTATTAACTAAAGAAGATTGCTGCATAATCGTGCACGATAAGGCATCAATCTTCTTTATAATTCCTGGCTGCGGAACTCTCTTGATTGATGAAGAAACGCATATCCAAAATTCTTATAAGTGAGTTGAAATAAAAAGATACATCCAAAAAATTACACTTGCAATAAGTCAAGCAGATTTGTGAAATAGTACGAACACTTTTCTTTTGTTCGAATAATCAATGAATAACTGTAAAATTAATGCGACATGCAACCTTCCTTTCTAATCTATCTTTTCTCATGATTTTGACATGGTAATTTTACGGTTATTTATTGATCATTAGAATAAAGAGTGTCCAGACTATTTTACGAGTTTATTTGATCGATTACAAGTATCATTTTGTAAAAATATAATTTTATTTCAACGTATTTGGCAAAAATTTTTAACGTGTATTTTCTCATTCTTCTAACATCATAAATCATAATAGCCGCGACCAAGTGCCTCAATTAATAACTAAAATTCTATCTATCAGGCACTTCCCAGGAGGAGTGACAACATATTCCTCCCACATTATATTCAATTCTGGTGGTGGACTCAACAACGCTCTTCTCATGGGAGGTTAAGTGCGCACAAATATATTACATATTCGGAATTAAGTTCATTAAGGCTCCTAGTTTCTCGCCGCGAAACTACGTACTCGTTCGCAAAAGGGCCTTTTCGTTCAGTTTTATCTAATGCACAAGCACACAACGGCAGATCTCACCGTATCGCGCTTAATCATTCACTAATCTTCTTTAATTGATAACTCAAAATCTGACGTGATTTGTTTGCGAAACAGTAGAAAAATTTTTCATTCAATTTGATGAGTTCTACCTACACACAATGACTGTGTCATGATTTATCGGACATCTTATTCAGGTCGCGTATTATTGTTATTGTTGTTATTATATCATGACAAATACATTGCAATTTTTCAGGCTTCCGCAAATATATGAGGAGTTCTATCACACGATAAACAACGCCGACCACGAAAAAGACCTCAAATGGTGGTCCAATAATCATGGCGTAAATATGGCTATGAATTGGCCGCAGTTCGAGGTGAGTCGCTGGACGCTTATCGTCACCGTGCACTAACGAAAGCTCTACTGTCGCATGTAACAGCCCTGCTCGTGGTTGAAGATCTGTTGTTAGACAACATATAGCTGTAGCGTGGACTGAATATTACTCTATATAGCTCCCCCGCCCCTTTTTTTACAATAATTTCACTGTTACTCGTTGGTCGTTATGTGCGCCTCGGTGTATTTTTCTTCTTTTATTCCTGGCACTCGGCCCAAGAAAGAATAAAACAGTGACATTTGCTGCAATTCCCCCGGGGTACACAGGGGCTAAAAATAAGTGTATTGGTATTTCTATTAAAAGAAAATGAAAGATAGATTTCGCCTGCGTTAAAGTAACGAACGGGACGTATTGATTTTTGCGAGAACGAACGATGACGCGAGAAAATCGTGTACATTTGTATTCGCGCTAAAATAACGAGGTAAAACTTAAGGATGTATTGCTCGTATGGTCTCTAGGTACGCTAAAAATTAGAAATACAGGTAATACTTCTATTTTCCAATCAAAAACGCATGGTAAATACATACGATATGCAGTCAAATATTTTACTTTAACGTCATATTTTTATCTGTCTATTATTTCTGATCTTTTAAAATATCTAAACTATAATTAACTATGATAAAGCTTTTTGCACATATAATTTCGAATATTTAAAACATATACATATATACAAAAATTAATATTTTTATCATCATTTTTTAATTATTTTTTCCTTTACTAAAAATAGTAATGTGATAGTAGTATATATTTTCATGACAGCACGATCTAAAATAATCCCAAATAGTAGGATGACGTCAAGTGACATATTATTGACGTTAGAGACATCATTAATGCGTCATTAAAATATCAATTGACATCATCATATTTGCTGGGCTTACACTTAAAAGTGGAGTAATTTTTGATCCATACTCTGAATCTCTCTCTCAATGTTAAATTGTTTGCGATGACTTTAGATGAAATACAGTTTAATCTTTAATTTTCTCATTATTTTTGAGATACGGGTAATACACTCTTAACACACTCGAATAAAAAAGAACGGACTTACTCTCAATCAGCGTTTTTAACCCTTATGTTCGTCATTGTGTCGACGTCGCCCCCAGGCTGTAATTATTGTATCAAATATCAAATTATGCTTCTGTACAGTTGCCTCTGAGAAAACACCTCGCTTACAAAAGTGTTTCGTTTTCTTTTCGATTTTTGTTAAGCTTCTTAACCCATAATCAACGTGACTTTATCAGTTAAAATTGCCAATGACATCAACTCAGTAGCCAGACAATTATCAATGGCTCCAGTCCGGAACATTTCTCTATATCGTGATAGCTTATCCTAAAATGATTAGTTAAGAAGCGTTGTACAAAACACGAGTTTATCCGTCGTCCGCTTATACTGATTACGGGTTACGATCAGTGTTGCCGAATACTAAGACTTCTGATTCAGCGCCGCGTAATTCTTGATCGACGACGCCAGAAGTAAGAAAATGCATGCCGAAAATTTCTACAAAGTAAGTTAAGATAAAAAGATATATCAATGAAAATGACACCCGCAATCAATTAAGCACACTTCTAAAATATTCTGAACATATTTTCCTTTTGCTCTAACAATCAATAAATAGCCATAAAATTAACGTGTAACTTGCGACCTCCCTTTTTAACCTACACTTTCTCATTATTTTGTCGCGTTAATTTTACGATTATTTACTGATTGTCAAAGCAAAAGGAAAGTGTTCAGAATATTTTAAAAGTGTGCTTAATCGATTGCAAGCGTAACTTTTTGGATATATTTTGGACTTTTTATTTCGACGTACTTCGTAGAAATTTTGGGTATACATTTCTTCGCTTCTGATACCACAAGTCGAGATTGCCGCGGCGAGAAGCCAGAAGCCTTTTCTTTGTTATCGAAAATTGTTTTTATGTTTAACTAACATCCAACGCCTTACACCGAAGAGCTACCTGTGTCTCGCTACTATACGTGTGATCGGATTTGTCGTCCGTGTGAACGACGTCACGCGTATCTTCTCTTCCGTCAACGCACACTGTCCAAGGGTTAAATTCGTTGCGAGAGTAACGCCCACACCCCATCGCCACCTCTCTCGCCTCGGTTTTCCTTGAGTAACTCGAAACGAAATCGAGAACTACCAACGATAACATTACGTATGCCTAAAAAAATGTAGAACGAGAAAAAGATAGCCGGTGAGAGAGAGGGAGAGAGAGAGAGAAAGAAAGAAAAAGCCCACAACGATTTTTCTGGAATGCATGCATGTGATTGTTTTGGGACGTTATGCTATTATGCAGGACTACACAGAGGAGTTCCGCGAGATCACGAAGGGCTCGAAGTCAAAGGAGGCGCTCCCGGCAGGCTCCATCACTCTCATCAATCAACGCCCGGTCGGCGAGGATCTGCATGTAAAGTTCTGTTACGTTTACACGACGCCGTACAGACACACGCACACAGAGACACAGTCGCAGAGTTACAGTCACTTTAAATGTTGAACCCCGCGCAAAACCTCCGTCCGCCTACTTTTCACACCCCCCCCCCCCC